AAGTCTTGATTTGCTAGACATTAGTATCTCGTTGGATTGTATGTGCTATCATTGTATATAAAGTTATGAAGTGTGGCTATGTATATGCTACTGAAACATGTTGTGAGGTTAAGAACACCCACAAGCAGCCTTTCAGTTACAGCAATAAAAAGGCCAAACAATGTTAATGGCTTATTGAAGAAATACACACAAGCACAAGGATTACTCCAGGTACTGTGTACATTAGACACTTCTTCGAGATAGCACTGCACAATGGGAACTGTTTGACCCAGGTCACAGCAAAAGAGTTTTCCAGCAAGTTGGAAGAAGATATAAAAAGGGGAAGTGACATCAAGACTGGACTTCACTCCCCACATTAGAGAACACCTAAAAACACCTGAGGAACAAAGACTGAACTGGAGGAAGTGCCGGTCCCCGGCTAAAGGAATTTCTAGCCTGTGTATGGAAACTTGGTGGACTCCTTGTATCATCAGCCAGGGTGGGATATTGCTAATTCAGACCCTATTGATCTAGTATTTTAGGCTTAGTTTGCATTTTTATTTGCTAAGTAATCTGCTTTGATTTGTTTGCTCTCACTTATAATCACCTAAAATCTATATTTCTGTAGATAATAAACTTTTTTTATATTTACCTAAAACACTGTGTGTTGTTTGAAGTACAAAGGGAAAAATCTCAGCTCAGTGCGCGTCCATTTTCCTTTGTAGAAGTGGTGGACTGCATAATAAATTCATACTGGTCAGGTTTTTGACCAGGGCAGGACGGCACAGCTCTGGGATCCTAGGCTGGGGAGCTGGGGGCGTATTTTGGCTGCAGCCTCTCTATTGTGGGTTCATGAGTGGCCGACCAGAGCAATCATGAACACAGATGGTTAGGGACAAAATATGTTTGATCAAGGTGTATCAAAGAGCCAGATACTTTTACAGATGATTCTCAAAGGCTGTGATTAGGCTCTTATAATCAGAATAGTGAAAGAGAAATAGGTCTCCAGTTCAGTAAGTCACAGAGGGCCCTTTCTTGGGCTGCAGGGTGATTACTGCCCTGCAATAAATGAGGAGTGTGATGGGTCCTGTCCTCCCCGGGGTGCCACCTGGAACTGAGATACAGCTGAGCCCTCTGTCTCACCAATCTGGGTTCCCTCTTGCACTGTGATGCTGTGACAAGCTGCAAAGCCCTCCATGATAAAAGGTTTAGAAAATCTCACCCCTTTGTTTTTAATTCATTATATACTGTGTACTGTGTCAAATTTTGGGTACCACACTTTAGGAAAGATGTGGACAAATTGGAGAGAGTCCAGAGGACAGCAACAAAATGATAAAAGGTTTATAAAATCTCACCCCTTTGAGAAAAGGTTAAAAAAACTGGGCATATTTAGTCTTGAGAAAAGAAGATAATAGGCTTCAAATATGCTAAGGGCTGTTAGAACATGGACGATGATTATTTGTTCTCCATCTCCACTGAAGGTAAGACAAAAAGTAATGGGCTTAATCTACAGCAAGGGAGAATTAGGTTAGTTATTAGGAAAAACTTTCTAACTGTAAGGGTAGTTAAGCTCTGGGATAGGCTAACAAAGAAGGTTGTGGAATCCCCATAATTGGAGGTTAAGAACAGGTTGGACCTGTCAGGGATGGTTTAGATTTACTTGTTCCTGCCTCAGGACAAGGGGCTGGACTTGATGTCTTTTTGAGGCCTCTTCCAGCCCTACATTTCTGTGATTCTATATTTTTACTTTCACAAACTTTTAAATCTGGATGTGGGATTTATTTCAGTGGACCAGGAGAAAGCTTTTGACAGACTTGACCATGTCTATCTTTTTAAAATATTGGAAACATTTTGGATTGGGCCAGTTACTTCATATTTATATTTTTTATTGTACCATAATGTTTTAGTGTTTTAAAGATTAAAGGAGGGTCTTAGCTGCTGCTTACTAGTACATAGACGTGCTCTTCAGGGGTGCCTTCTCTCTGGGATGTTATCTGCCCTGAGCCTGGAGCTATTCTTGCACCTCATAAGAAGCCCATTGACTGACCTGCCTTTGCCCAAGGGGCCAGATGCTTTCCTGGTTTGTCTGTCAGCCTATACTAATTACATCTCAGTTTTTATCATGTCTGAAGGTGATATGCAGGCACTTTGCACCTGTCTGCAATATACGAACAGGCATCCTCTGCTCGAATCAATTGGGCAAAGAACAATTTGATCTTACTGGGATCTTGGCAGTGTAGTGGTTCCCAATTGCTGCCTTCCCCATTGCAATAATGGGGGCACCTCTGGGATGAAAGTGTTGTTTTTTTATTTCTGATTTGAACAATATAGATGTGGGAGACGGCTGTGGAGGGTGTAAGGCCTCCTGCAGAAATGGTGCTGGCTCCTTACTGGACTTCCTTTTTGGGGTTGGGCTTTGGTTGCCAACAACTTCATGACCTCAATGTTGTAGCACCTACTGCTGTATCTGGACCCTTTATCAGAACTCCTGGACTGGATTCAGAGGCACATCAACCATTTTTTGGAACTGTTACACCTGGTTTCACTCTGATTTGCTGTTCTTGCTGTTAGATAAGAGAGACAGGGTCATTGACCTGGTGAGTAGGGTGTCAGCTTTTTGCATTTGGTCTGTTCAGTGGCTTTCTTTCCCCTCTCTCATGCTGGGGAGATGGGCTTGGACTCTTCTTTGTTCTGCTAGGACATGGTTACTTAGCCTGGATTTATCTACATTCTACAATGGCCTTTTCAACTCCTGGTGACTCCTGCAAAGTGCTCAGCCAGACCAGGCATTTTACAGTTCATGGCTCTTGGACAATACACATTTTTTAAACCCTCTTTTCCCCTCCAAGGCTGTCTCCTCCAGGAGCCTTCTTCTTCTTTTACCCAGGCTGGGTTGACCAAGCTTATCCTGCCTGATTGTTCCTGGTTGGTTAAGTTGAAGTTGGTGGCAGCCATCACTATTCAGATTTCAGAGTAGCAGCCGTGTTAGTCTGTATCCGCAAAAAGAACAGGAGTACTTGTGGCACCTTTTGAGCATAAGCTTTCGTGGGCTGTAGCCCACGAAAGCTTATGCTCAAATAAATTTGTTAGTCTCTAAGGTGCCACAAGTACTACTATTCAGATTGGAATCTGATCTGTGTGGTTTTTGGGTAAGAGCCTCTCTGATTTACAGTCTCAACAAGCTGCTCAGTGTCTGCAGAGGGTTTTTGACTGACTGTTCTTGCAGAGGGCACTCCTGCATTCCCTTCACAAGCTATCTTCCCTTCTGTGACTCAAGATTTGGTTACAGCTGGGCAGGCTCTTGTCCTCAAAGTGTCTGACAGATGCTTCTTTTCCACTTATGAATAGGGCCCTTCCAAATTCACAGCCATGAAAAATGCCTCACGCAACATGAAATCTGATCTTCCCTGTGAAATCTGGTGCCCAGCTGGGGGGTCCTACCCTGTGCAAGACTCCAGCTGCTAGTCCCAGCAGGGGATATGGAGGGACAAGACTTCCTCTTCCCGTACAGCGGCTGCTCCCAGGGTGGGTCAGACCCACCTCCGGGAACCTTCCCTCGCTGCAGGAAGCTGCACAGCTCAAGCTGTCACTTCCCCACATGGAGAGGCTACAGTTCAACCTGTCACAAACAGCCACACACACACAAACCCCGCACAGAGAGGCTGTGGCTCGAGCTGACACATACACACACACCCCCCTGCGCGGAAAGGCTGCGGCTCCAGCTATCAGTCCTCCATGCTCCTGAGAAAACTAGACGTATGGTAACCCCCCCTCCCCCATATCCTGTGATCCTCACTTCTGCACTGCTGCTGGCTGTGGCACTGGCTTTAGAGAGGCAGCTGGCCAGTTCGGAAGGCAGCACCTCTGCGAGAAGCAGGACAGAAGTAAGGCTGGCAATCCCATGACCCCCTTACAATAACCTTGCAACCCCCCCCTCCCCCATGGTTACAATACTACTGTGAAATTTCAGATGTAAACATCTAAAAAGGTGAAATTGACTAATTAAAAAACCCCCTGGCTGTGAAATTGATGAAATGGACCTTGATGTTGGTAGGGCCCTACTTAAGAACAAGAAGCAGCTCTATGGTTTCTGTGTCAAGATGCGGCCTTTTGCTGCCCAATCTGATTTCCCCCACACTTCCTGCATACATTAGTCCCTGAGTGACTCCATGTCCCTAAGCACTTGGGTGACTTGAGCAGTGGTGAATCTTGCTTCTTAGCGATTGCTTTGCGAGCCACATCACTTGAGGGGGAGTGTAGGCCGCACCCCTTCTGTTTGGCCTCTGCTAGGCCTTTCATTTTCCCCTCCATTGTCCCTGTTTGATTCCTCTTTGATTTTTTACAGCAGCTTTTCAACGGTTTTAGTCTGGGTTTTTGCAGGTCCCTGTTAATTCTGGGAGTGAGATACAGCGCTCGCATGTGGCCTGTTTCCTGCCTGGGCAATTTTTTTACTGGGTCAGGCCAAACTGGCCTTTTTGACGGCAGGGGCAGCCGGGTGTGATGCGTTGGTGCTGTTCTGTGCACTGCCTGCCCCCCGGCCTACACCTTTTGTAACCTGTAGTCTGGCCGCCTTGTGGTTGATCGGTGCGTTCGCAGTGTATTGGGTGAACCTGGCGGGGGTGACGCCTGGGCTGTGTTTATCTTTAGTTACAGCTTGCTACGTTTACACTGCAATACATGATATCAAATAACACTTTGTATATGTTTTATACGCTTCCTTCTGGTGTTTACACGTCATGTTTCCCTCAGGCCCACAGAGGCATGAAGGCGCAGACACCCTCCCCAGCTCGCTTGTTCTGCAGTCTCCGCTCCGTGCAGGACTCCGTGTGTGCGGGCCTGGGCTGCCGGCGGCGTGGGCAGATCTCCAGGGGCAGCCGTGGGGCTCCCCCTTGTGCGTGCGGGGCGCTGCCGGGTCCCCTCGGGGGGCGCGGAGCCCGCCGGACCGGCGGCTGATGGCAGCTGCGCAGGATGACACGGGCCCATCACGTGGGTGAGCCCTCCCCGCCCCTCGCCGTACGGGACCCACGGGCCGCTGCCGCCGCCGCCCACGGGACTCCGCCAGCGGCCGCGCCGTGCGCCACAGCTCGGAGGGTCCTGCAGCCGCACGGAGCCTCAGCGACCCGTCCCCAGCACCCCGACGCCCATCCGCGCTGGGCTTCCGCTGCAGGAGGCGGCCCGGCCCGCAGCCCGGTGAGTGCCAGGAGCCAGCCGGCCTGACCCTGCCCAGGGCGCCGTGCCCGGAGGCAGCCCCAGTCCCTGGAACCCGGCTGCGCCCTCGAGAGTCCAGCGAGCGCCGGGGGCACGCGCGCGCGCGTGTGGGGGGCAGCGAGCCGGGGCTGGTGCGGGGGAGAGATGGGGAGGCAGCGAGCCGGGGCTGGTGGTTAGCGAGCTGAGTGGGGGGGCTGGTGGTTAGCGAGCTGAGTGGGGGATGGTTGGGGCTGGTGGTTAGCGAGCTGAGTGGGGGGGGCTGGTGGTTAGTGAGCTGGGGAGGGGGTAGTTGGCGAGCCGGGACTGTGGGGGGATGGTTGTGGTGCTGGGGGATTATCGCACTGGGGTGGGTGACGGGTTAGTGGCCAGGGTGGGAGGTAAAGTTAGGGTGTTGGGTGGGTTTTTAGGCCAGGGAGACTGGCTTGTTAGGGAGGGGAGGGTGTCAGTATTTCAGGACAGGGTGGGGACATGCCAGAGAGTGTGTGTGTGTGTGTGGGGAAGGAATGGGGTTGCTGTCCGGATTACAGTGTTGTGGTGTGGCAGCGTCTGGGAGGCTGGAGGTTTAGTGTGCCAGATCAGAAGGTAGCTGCTGAGGGAGTTGTGATCTAAGGTAGGATATGCTGGTGCTGGCAGAGGTTAGTGAGCTAGGGAAGAGCTAGTTTGCCATTGGATTTGGGGCATAGTGCCAGAGTGGAGAGGCAGCTGCTGAGGGAGAGGGTTAGTGTGCCAGGTTGGATGGGGGCACCCAGGTGACGGATGAAGGGGCTTAGAGTGCCAAGGTGAGGGTTGCTGCTCGAGTTGGTGTGTGTGTGTGTGTGTGTGTTTAGAGAGAAAGAGTAATGAATGTGGCCCTGTGGGTTTTAAATGCTGTAATGTCTGGAACCTCACATTGCAACAAGGGGGCATATAAAAGGACTATCTTGTCACTAATCTTTCTACTGTCAAAAGGTAGTTTTAGGATTTTATGGACATTATTTTCAGTGATGGAAATGGCCCAGTGATGTGTTTTGAGTTACAACCTGGGGCAGACAAGCAGCTGCAGTCACAAGTTCTGAATTCTAGAGGGAGGGAGGGTGTGAGTGAGGGATGGAGAATGGCATCTCTTAAGGCCAAAACTGTTGGTTACATCTCTGCTTTCACCGGGGAGCAGTGAAATGGGCATAGTCAACCTAGACGTTTGTGGAATGAAATTCCAGGCTGAGTTGGGAATTCAGCAGTAGATACGAAATTCTCTTTCGTGAATGCTTACAGGCTTTCTGCTCCCCACAAGCCCCAGAGTTATGAGAAATGAAGGAGGCAGCAGTAATGAACGGATTCCTCCCTGGCTCTTGCATGTAGCAGCTTAGGTAGATTGATTTTATTTCTTGGTGGTTATTGGAGGCACAGTTCCAGGGAGGCTGCCCATTTGTGTAAGGGAGGCCTGGACTGAAGAGTCCTGGTGTTGCTTCCTCTGACTCAGCAGGCCTAGCTCAAAGACTCATGGATTGTAGCCCAACCAGCCAAGAACTCCCCAGAAAGGGTGATCTGTTTACAATAGCCCTTCTAAGGACTATACTGGAGTCAAATTTTAAAGACCTCATCTGAATTCCCATCTTTATACACAAAAAAGGGCTAATTTTTGTTTTCCTATGTGACTGGGAAGCCCTGGTGTTGCTTCCACTGAGCCAGCAGTCCTAGCTCAAGACTCATGGATGTGTGTGTGTGTGTGTGTGTGTGTTTGTTACAGGGCTGGGGATGGTTAATGTGCTTTTGTGGTAGTGTGCTGGGGTGGGTGAGGGCTTAGTGAGCCAGGGCAGGAGGTGAGGTTAGTGCTAGGGCTGCGTTTTGGGGCCACAGATATGGATTAGTATGCCTTGAAACTTCAGGTTTCCAGTTTCTGTTGTTAGGAGAAGTGTATGTAGACACAGACTCCCCAACCCCCAAAAAGTTTTAACATTGACTTAAATATTATACCTTATTGCATTTTAAAATTATAAATGGAAGTATGGCCCTAAAATTACAAGGCTTTCTGGTGTGCACAGTTTATAAATAAGGAGATCAACTGCATAACCATTGTAAAGGATGACAGGTGAATACTTTCTTTTTTGTGGAAAGGGATAGTCTCAGCTCAAATTTGGCTTCCGATGTGAGTTTTGTAAAACAATACTTCTCTATTGCTCTTAGAGCTTTTGTCATGTCTTCCTGGAATCTAGATTGAAAAATAGATTTTTTCAAACAAATAAGCACTGCCTTGTAGGGTTCATAATCCCAACATTGAACTAAGCCTGGATCCTGCATTGACTGTAGTAGACGTTGGGAGCTCTCCGTACCTTGCAGGATCAGACCCAATTGTATTAGAAGCTGAAAGTGAAACTGACCTGTCTATATATCTGGGCGGAAAGATATTCAAAAAGTGTACAAAAATCTTGTAATTCTAAGGTGGTATTGTAACAAATAAAGACAATTAAAAATAGTATGAAACTGACATTATGCTCCTTACAGTTTTTGGGTGTTGCTTATAAAACTAGTGATCTAAGAGAAGAAATACCACACAGAACTAGCCTTTCAAATTTATCACTGGACCTGTATACACCTCCCAATTAGCCCATAAAACTTTGCTTACTGAATGAAGGGCCAAGTTTTGCTTATTTTTGTAGGTAGTGTCTTTATGACTTACTTATATTATAGTAGCTTCAAGAGAAACCAACCAAGATGGAAGTCTACAGTTTGCTAGGTGTTGTCGTCATCATCATCATCATGATGTTCCTATTACACCTCTGGCGTTTAGGACAGTGATGAAGCTCCTTCACTCGTCTGTTTCTGACAAGTCTTTCAATGGTTCCCCAGCTGTGCCCCAGGTTTTTAGCTCGGCTTCCACAGCTCTTCGCCATGTTGTTTTCAGGTGGCCTCATTTTAGCTTGCCTTCAGGTGTCCATTTTATTGCAACTCTGGTGATAGAATCAGTTTCCATCTGGAGCACATGACCGATCCATCTCCAACGCCTCCTGGCAATGATGGTGCTCAGATTCTCTTGGCTGCACTGTGTCAATAGATCTTGGTTTGAGATTGTTCTGGGCCAAAAGATACGGAGGACTTTTCTGAGGCAGGTTGTATGAAATGAAGACCGTTTGGACCGTTTCTCATTCCCCAGCATACTGCACTATAAAGTAGTGTTGAAAGTACGATGGATTTGATTTAAATCACTAGTCAGGAAGACTCGATTTAATATGGATTTCTACATAAAAGTGCATTCATGTTGGTTGTTATAACCTTCCATACATATTCTTCACAACTCAGAGACAGATGTAGGTTTCATTTTTAGAAGATACACACTATGCATTTTTAAAGTGATTTATTTTGAAAACTTTTCAGATTAGTTTTATAACTATATCAGAAAATGAATGATTCATTTACCAAAGGTAATTGAAGCAGATATTTATGAAGTCATTGAGAGGTGAACTGTCTCCAATTCAACAGGTTAATCATTAATATTTGGAGGATTTTCTTGCCATGCTGTATTAGGAGGAGAACATCACCAGACAGACATTTAAATTGTTTTATTTAACTAAAATAACAATGTTGTGTATTCTGGATTTTTTTCTTCAACAGCAAAACATATTATATTTTAACAAAACAAGCATATGAATTTTTGAATTTAATGAAACATTCAAGTTTTTTAAAATCAGGTTTGTTTTTCTTAAAATTGTTTTTAACTAAAATAGTTAAATTAATTTTTTTTTTTTAAGAAACAAAAATTAAATCGACTATGTCAGCCAGGTCAACATGAGAAACTTAAAATATTGGCTTCTGCAGTTAACCTGGTCGTCTTCACCTTCATTTTCCTGTATGTTCATAATCTGGAAAAGAAAAACAAGCTTTCCTGCCTTTTCAGGTTCCAAACGATTTCTCAATTTGGAATGAATTAGTCTAAAGGAAGAAAATATTCTTTCTACAGCGGCAGAAGAAGGTACTGCTGCTAAAAGTGAGATTATCTCTTCAGCAGTCTCTGAATCCAAGTGCTTAAGTGATTTCCACCAGTTCACTGGTGTGACTTTCTTTAAAACATCATCAGCAAACATATATTTCTTGAATGGTTAACCCTTAGCTCTGAAGTTTATTATAGTTGGCATTATGGAGGGATGATTGCTGGATGTCCATGTCATAGCCAACTCCTCTTCTTCAGCAGTTAAAGTTTGACCCTGATACCGAGTATTGAGAATATTTGCAAGAAAATGAGCTGGAGATAGTGCTTGTCCCATTCGTTTTTTTAATGCTTGTAATTTGTCTCTGTCATTGCATATTTCTCTTTTTAAGATCTCACTTAGTTTCCTTCCAAATTTCAACAGTGTCAGCAATAAAACAGCCATTTCCCTGCATTTTGTTCAAGGCTATAGAAATAGGCTTCAAGGTACTCGGCATGTGTTCAACATTTCTCTTAAGCCCAATGTTGAGAACTTTGGATGTGACAGTGCCATCTATTTTTTCACGATTTTGTTCACAAACTATCATCAGATTAGACCAGTTCTTGATATAGTGCTTAAAACAGTCCACTACTGAGTTCGATTGCACATCTTGTGGGAGAGTTAGCTTGGTTCCTCCCACTTTTTTCAGAGCAGCTGCTGCAAAGTGGTTGTTATGGAAGTATTTTGTAATTTCAACAACATTAGCCTTTATTTCTGGAACACTGAAGTCTTTGGCTAGGAGGTGCATCAAATGAGCACGCAACCGTATGTTATTAGCTTGGACTCGCTTCTAAATAATTTCTTCTCATCTTGGGTACATTTGCAGCATTGTTTGTGACCAAGCTGCGTACTAGACATTTGAATTTTTTTTCACAGTTATAGCTTTTACTGCTACTTCTTGTAAGTATTCTGCTGTGTGTGCATTTCCTGATGTATCAATTGTTTCTGTAAGGAAGACTTTCGCTTCTTCTGTTGTCACATAAGCACATACAACAGGATCATTGTGGACATTGCTCCACCCATCAAGACTCAGGTTAACAA